AAATGTTACAATATTTATAATTTACAGCAGACAGTTTAGCAAACATGCATTTGAAATCAGGCATTAGTTTTAGAAATTCTAGAAAATGTCACATTATTTAAATAAACCTGCACATTGATTCAAATCTTTCTTGTTTCATTCAGTGCCTGGCATAAATTAAGTGCTTGGTGAATTTTCATTTTTATTAATATGTAGCTGAAACCCAAAGCTGGGAAGCAGAAACAGAGAGCTACTTAACATTTTCTGAAACTGAAGAGGCAATTTCTTACAGGCACCAAAGAGAATCAAGAGACCTTACTAAAAGATTACAATGATGTAGCTAATGGAACTCTATCTGGTATCAATATCAGCTGTAAATGTCTTCTAGACTTTGAAAATGTCAAAAATGTCCCTTAGAAAAATGAAATAGCATGGAAATAAATGTAATAACTTCATAAAAGCTTGTTAACTCATGCAGGGAAGTACAGGATTAAATTAGTTTAAAATGTCCTTAAGCTCTTTCTCATCAGCAGTTCCTGAAAAATTGAATGCTACCCATGGTAAAAAAAAAAAAAAAAAGCTTCCTAAATAGTACACACAAGTCATGTACAGGCTTAACAGAACTGTATGAGAAGAGGCACAGTGTGGACTTTTTATTCACAAGAAAGTGTATGTCTGCAGTGATGCACCACGTGCCTCCTGAAATTCTGCCTCTTTTCCTTTTAGTTATGTGTTTGGAACGTATAATAAATACACTCATATTGGGGTGCTGGTACATGCTATAAATATGGTATCTTGATACAATTCTGCCTTAATCATCTTAGATTCTTGTACACTTGCATCCCAGTACAACTGCAGAACAAGAAATGGACTATGAAGTCAGTGGTGGAGAATTCTGAAGAGGTGGGGGATGGGGAGATGGTTCAGTGGAATAAGTGCTTCCCTGGCAAGCGCAAGGGCCTGAGTTCAATCCCCTGTTCTGAAAGAGAGAGAGAGAGAGAGAGAGAGAGAGAGAGAGAGAATTCTGAAGAGGTATAAGAAAGGATGGAGGATCCCTGGCCATGGTATAGCTGGACACTTTTATTTTCTAAAGTGAAGATGGTGGGCCGAGGAGATAGCTCGTAAGTCTAAATCCCTGCCTGGCAAGTGCAAGGACCCAGGTTCCATCCTCGGTACTGCCTGCTGTGCCAGCTCCAAGCTGAGCAGGCCTCCGAAACCAGGCGTGGTGGTGCACACCTATAATCCCAGTGCCAGGGAGGCTGAGACAGGAGGATCACTATGAGTCTCAGCTGTGTAGCGAGACCCTGTACCAAATAAATAAATAAATAAATAAATAAATAAAATATTTTTTTGAAAATGAGAGAAGATGGGAAAAAGATGAAGAGAGTGCAAAGAGAAAGATTGAGAAGGGGAAGAAAAAATTTAAGATGTGTTATGCACATGTATCAGCTCTTTGGATGCTGCCAACACATACTTTAAAAAGCTATGTGGGAAAGGAAATATCAAACCTGCACTATGAGATCCTAAACAATTGCTTGCTCTGGAACTTTCCACACTGCAAGAGGGTGGCAGGATCTTGCCTACTTGGGTCTCTGTACTCAGGAGTGAGAATCATGCCAACATCTGAAAGTGCATTGGTAAGGTTCACTGCATGACCTCTACATACTTGCCTCTTGGTCTCCTTTCACTGTGACAGATGAGCTTTGTGCTGCTCTTGGCCTCTGCCAGGGGTGGGTCAAGAGTTTCTGGGAGGCCTCTGGCCACAGCTGGGCATAATTCTGAAGCAGCTGGGTGGGGAGGCACGATCAGATTTTAGTCCTCAGTGTTAATAGCGCATCTGCATCATGAATGATTTCTGTACTGGCATCTCATAACTTAGACAGGATGCCATTCATTAAACTATCGTTATGATGGGGCACTTTCTAAAACTGCATTGCTACTCAAGTTGTTTATTCTGGCATTTAATCTTGAAGAAAATGCAGTGGAAATGTTTTTCTACTTAATTCAATAATATAGCATTATTGCCAACAACCATATACAAATATAAACAGTGTATAAACAGAAATTATTTTAAACTATATGGCATCTTGTTTTGTAATTTATGTAAGTCAAAGCATCTGGCTTATACTATCATATTGAGGCTGAAACTGGAGTGTTAGAACAGAAATTATACAAAGAATGTATTTTCTGGGGGCTGGTGAGATGGCTCAGTGGTCTAAAGCACCTACTTTAGAACAAGCTTAGCTAAAGCCCAGAGACCGCGGTTCAATCCCCCAGCCCCACATGCCAGCCTGCCCCGCCCCCTGGTGGGCTGAGCTGGCCACATACACACACACACGCATAAATAAATAAAATTAAAAAAAAAAAGAATATATTTTCTGTATTTTTCCTACTTTTCGTTGAGACTGACAAAATGGTTAAGAATTTTAACATAAATTTGTGGGGGATTGGGTTCTAAGTCTGCAATTTATTAATTATTTTAGCTATGTATCAGGTAACTAACTTTTCCTACCTTCACACTTTTTTTTTTGCAAAAGGATGATAATTATGATTACCCCAGAGTTGTTATACAGATAAATTTGCAAGATGTTTGCTACAGTGCCCTCAGTTCATGCATATGTGCTCCCCAAAATGGTACTTTTCATTAATCTTGGGTTCACACTGAAACAGCTAAGTATACAAGCAGAACTATAGATATTATAATTAATTCAGATACATAAGAGGTCTTTTACCGGTTATTTACTTTATGGAGAAAAGGACAAGAATTTGGATCTCATTGTTAACAAACTTGGATCTCATTCAGTGTTACTAGCATTGACTACTCAGGTGTTTGATGACTTGTATAACGTGAAAAAATTTTAAAATGCCTCCATCATAGCTAAATTGAAGAGGATAGATGTCACTTTACCATGATCAGGTATGCATGCTTCAATTCAGGGTGAATGTGGCCTGACATATGGGAGGATTCAGAGCAGTTGCGTATCTTGTACAAAAAATCCACATGCAAGGATTCAATACCAATGCTTCAGTTTCTTTCATTTTAGGGCAGTGTTCTAGAAAGGGGTGAATCAGTGTTCTTAGGGAAAGGATCTTTTAAAACACAAACCGGTGATAACTGAGATAGAAGTATTCTAAAGTATCAATGTGCTGACCCCTCTTTAATTTACTTAGTCTATTAAATCAATAAGTGGAAGGCTCATTCCTTTAAATATGTGGACTAATCACTAAAAAAATAAAAGCAGCTCATGATAGATTGTCCGGTTTCCTGATACCAAAAGAACCCAAACATTGTGGAATTTAAAATTCCCCTGGAATTGCAATTTATTTTCATAACGTTCTATGACATGATGTGTCTAAAATTATGATAGCTATTTGCTTTCCCTAAGGGATCCTCCCTAGATAAGTAACAGTATCCTTTCAAATACTCTTATGGAGTGATGACTTCAGTGACTTGGCAAAACTTCAGAACAATAATGCAATTTGAGGATAATGTCACTGTTATTTTTCCTTTTAAAAAAATGCTTCTGTGTGTCACAATAGAATAGTTATTCTTGCCTGCTCCTCTACTTTCAATAAATAAATTAGGCTAACTCAGATTAAAGGAAGTTCAATAGGAGGAAGGAGAGACAGGAAGTGACTAAGAAGTTGGTGGGTCTGTCAAGGTGAACGGGGCTACAGAGAAAAAAAAAATAACAAGTGGAATGAATAATTCTACATCCTGAATTTTTAAAAACTCTAACCAAGTGTTGAACTTGTTTGAAATGGTGATATAATTGTTCCTTCCATCTTCTACAAGGGTGGAAGGATGTTTTTGATGAACATGAATTTTACCACAATTGTGTCAAACCACACAGAGTTCAGCCTAATTTATGTTTCTTATATTGTATTTCATACATCACATTCAAGCTATCTCGGAGCACTACAGCTCACTTGCAAGGGTGGCATGAAAACTTTTACATTTGCAAGAGAAAGAATACAGTGACCATAATTTTCAGGGACCTCCCTAACTTACTAGCTGGAGATTGGTCACAGTTTTAAGATTACGTTTGGCTTTGTTTGTCTGAGTGACCTGTATTTGCCAAGTAGATCAACATGAACATAAATGTGCAACAGGAAATGGAGGTGGCAGTGTCCAGTCAGTCTGATTATACAGTTTGAGGAGTTCCTGTTACCAATGAAAATGACACAAATACCTATTTGTACATCTCATTCATGTTTCTTCTTATAAAGTTACTAAGGAATGAAAAGTTAAGGAAAATGGACCTTACTACTTAATGAAGTGAACTGCTAGGTAATTCTTTTGGCCTAAGAATGCTGTGGAAATAACTTCTGAGACAGTATGGTCCATGAGTTGAGAAAGTTTGATAGCTTCTATCTTGCTATTTGCAAGAATGTAGAAATAGGCATTAATATTTATGCCTAGACTTACCTAACCTGGGGATGATATGATACTAAAAGATTATATTTAAGCATACACTCCAAAGCCTATGTCAACCCTCAGAAAACAATTCAGATCTCCATAGCTCTAAATGCAGTCCTACATAAGCATAAGATTTAGAGGCAGGAAGGGAGGTGTAAAAGTAGACAAAACCTTCTTTGTCTGACTTTTTTCTCCCCTTTGTCCCTGGTTTTTATTGAGTTTCCGCTTATTGAACTGTGAAGTTTCCTAAAGACAATCACATTTTTCTTCTCACTACTTAAAACTTGTAGAACTTGTCTATTTGTACAAAGAAAAGGCAATTCTTTTTCCCTTTCAAGGTCCTTGGATTGTATAAAATAAGTTCTTGCATCACTTTTAGTTAAAAACATTACACAATGCTTTGCAGTTTATCGAAGAGTCAGTTTGTAGATGACAAAATATGATAGCCACAAAATTTTATTGAGAACCATATATTCTCTTTGGTGGCTTATCCTGGTTCTTTATCTTGCCCCTTTAGGTAATTTCTGGCAAAATAATCGCCAATTTAAACTTGTATTGTGCCCCCAGCGACGTAGCTATGAAGGAGCTATTGCTACATTACCATGGTTGTTGATTTGACGTAGACATTGTTTTTCAGATGGCAGTTTCCATCATTTGGCACCACTATCCCTGCCAACTTGCTGTCAAGAGCGAGATGGGACGTCTGGTCTGTCATCACCAGCAGCAATCTTTTAGCTTCTTTTCTCCATCCAATATGACTCTTAAAATAAACATGTAATTAGACCTTGTCCAATAACATAGATCTGCGCTGTGGTTTTGCCTCTAGCAAACATTGCGTTTGAGTTGACAAACTTTAAGACAGGCTAGAATGATGCACTTTGGTAGAGTGCTGCTTGCTTCCTAAATAGTATTCACGTTTTAATGCACATTCTCTCTTTCACCACAGTCACTTGACCACATTGGTTCCTGGCTGCAGATTTCTAGAGCTCCCCTGAGGAAGGACAAGCCAGATTACAAACAAGACAATAAGATCACATGAGTGGGACAGCAAGGTATTTCTGGCTTTTCTTTGGAGTATAGTGTTCTTGCACTATAAGGGCAGCTCTTTGAGAAGACTTTATCTGCGCACATGGTCCCAAAAATGTACCAAAACCAGCAACACTGGTGATATTCTTTTATACTACAGTTTCACTCCATAAATCACATAGAAAATGAAAATGCTGAATTCTTTGAGCGCTTAAGGACATGGACCTCTTACCTCACAGACGGCTGCCTGAAGCATGGCATCAAAACCTCCTTCAGGGGTATCTATATTTCCAGAGATCTTTTGTCTGTGAACTGCTTTTTCAAACTCAGTGATGTTTTCTGTCAGAGACAGTACATGGATGTATCCATGCGGAGGCATACAGTCCAAGTTGTAGTCACTGTATGGGAAAAAGAAGAAGTGCAAAATCTATTTGCTATGCTTCCTTCAAAGTTCCAGAATACTATTAAGAGTAAGTTCATATAATTAGTATGAGAAGGAAGAAGGTTTTATTTTTTGGCTAGAGAAAGCTTGCAACACAAAAATATGATAAGTTCAGTAGTGGTGAGCATGTCTTTGTGAGGAAGAAATAAGAACACTGAGGTTTGGTGTACAAAAAATAAAGAAGGTTAAATATGTTCTTTAATGTGAGATAGGTAATAGCTTCCAGTATGTTAATAGGCAGTGTGAATTCTTAAGAAGAAAGTAAGCCTTTCCAATAGTTTCCTACCATACTTGATCATGGAACACATGAAAAACATTTTTCAGGAAATACTTTTGGATTTGGTTGAAATATCATATTATTAGATTTATAAAGAGGAATAGTAGACTTATTTTTGAAATGATGTTCAGTGTGGAATTGCTGATGACAAATTAAAATTTATTAAAATTTTTGACCATCCTGTGATACCTCAGAAAGTGAGATTCCTTTCATACTCACTTTCAAGGAGAAGGCTCATGAAGCTCCACTAAAAGATAAATCAGCCCCAGGTTAGTAGAATGGACCAGAGAGTTGTCTTGGTAACTTGGAATATGTAATGCAAGGCAATTTGAGCAGCTTGTGGAAGTATGAAATATGTTACAATAAGATGATATATGAGAGAAACATTATACAGATTTTATCCTCTGATAAGTGAACAGACAAAAAGTACACTTAAAAGTTGTGCATTTGAGATCGGTCCTCTTTGTTCACTGTGAGGCGTGTTCTATTTAGAATTAGAATTCTAAAGGCTAAGAAAAAGGCTTTCTAAAATGTTAAATGTTCATCGTTGACTCACTCTATGTATTAGCTGAGCTATTTTTGTAGATACATCAAAAGCAACATAATTATACACAATCATGATACAGTAATGGAGAGAGACTCATTATTGAAAGACAGACACTTTAATATGTACTAAATCTTAATTTAATAATTTTGGAGCAATCATCAAGGAGAAATTCAGAATTTCCACACAGATACTTATTTATACAAGGCCCGTGTGTTGAAAGCTTATCAAAGGATACTAATAGGGGATAGAGTTTTTTACTTTTTATATGTGTGATGAAAGTACCTCCTCCTCAAATGTTTTTGATATTTATTTATTTATTTATTTATTTATTTATTTATGTGGAATGGGGGATTGAACTCAGGCCCTTGTGCTTGTCAGAGAAGCACTTATTCTACTGAGCCATCTCCCCAGCCCCTTTTGATTCTTATGTAATAAGACAAAATTAAAGACCTAGATTCTAGGGCCAGCCAGATTGCTCAGCAGACTAAAGCACCTGCTTAGCCAGAGCACAGCAGTGGGGATTCAATCCCCAACATGCCATGCTAGCCCCACCTCTGGGGCACACTGAGATGATGATTGAGATTGGGTGTGGTGGCATGGGCCTGTAATCCCAGCTTTTGGGAGGCTGAACACAGGAGGATCACTACGAGTCTCATCTATGTAGTGAGACCCTGTAGACCCTGTACTAAATACAAAAAGCAAAAAAAAAAAAAAAAAAAAAAAAGCAAAGCAAAACAAAACAAACAAACAAAAACCAAACTGAAAACAAAACAAAACAAATCCCCCAGTTTTTTTTACACAGGAATAAAATGAAATTTTCTAAGACAAAAATTTATTTAGTATTACTCACGCTGAAAATTAAATACCTGCACTGATTATGAATCCTCTCCGGGTGGATGCTAATGTATGGAGAAACGGTTTTATCAACATATGAGCCAAATCCAAGGCGGAAGTCATGAGAGAAAAATGACATTTTTCTAGATAAATCATTTCCAACAGAATTTAACTTCTCTATGTTATTGTGCATTGATGCTGACACATCAACCAGATAATAAAGATCTACAGGATATTTCTTCAGAGGACGAATTTTCATCATAAAATTAGCTTCAGCTCCTAGTTCAAAAGAAGAGGAAAAACATCATGTAGTTTTCATTATATATATATATATATATGTGATATATATAATATTATATATAATGATATATATTATAATAATGTATTATAATAATGTATTATAATATATATAATATAATATATATAATGAAAACTATATATATATATGGATAAGATGTCAAAAAGTCATATTTTAGAGTCTAGGACAAATAGACAAACTTTTATATTAGAAGGTTCTAGAAGATTGTAGGATAACTATAAGGCATTTCAAAATCAATTTGATAGTCTTCATATTCTGCAGTGTCTATTCCACAACTTCGTAGATGAGAAAGCTATAATAGCAAATGAACCAACTCAATGTAAATGGGATAGGATGTAGTCACATAACCCATTGCCCTAAGTAGCTAAAAAAAAAAACCAGAGTGCAAAGCAGCAAGCAGCATTCTGCCCCCCACGAAGTACAGGTATCTGTGCTTATTGGGTGACTCCAAGCAAACTAGGAATATACTTAGGATTGAATGTGGATTTCAATGCATGTTTTGGAGTTCAGATATATTTTCATATGAGGTGCAAAATCTCTGATACCTAGTAGTACCTTAGGCTATACAAAATGAAGAGTATTTCATCATGAATTAGCTCACGAGAAAGCTATCTAGTGGTGGCACAACAAAGATCTGGAGAATACTTGTCCTACACGTAGTAAATATATGTAGCAGATGGATTACAGAAGCAAAGCCTGAGTCATGAGCACAGTAACAGGGTTGGTCAAAGCACCCCAGTGAGAAATGTGTGGGGAGTTTCCTAAGGACAGCTGTCTGTGATGCAGTTTTATTTAGTTTTCTGTTATATTGTCATTTGATACATGGACCTGGGTTATTCCCACAGGGCTCTACAGAGTTGTTAAGATCTGTTTTCAATTTAAAACACAGTGGGAAAAGTCATCTATTTATAATCTGTGAATTTTACTTTTTAAACAATAAAGCAAATGCATTTAAAGTCATAATTATTTGTCCATGGAGAATATGTTGAATGGAAGGCATTTTTTAAAATTCCAACTTATATACATAATTGGTAGTTGGCGCTCCTTCTGAGGGGAATCCCCTGGTGGACCAAATCAAAGTAGCAATATTTTCTTTTCAATTATTTCACAGATCAGATGTTTTCCAGTTGAATCACCTAACCTACCGAATAGTAAACTTTTAAAGCTATGTGATAATAATTATGAGAGAAAGAAGATATTTATTCATGCCTGATTTTATGTGTAGGAAACCTCTTTAGAGCAGCTTTTCTGCTCTAAAGTTGGACAGTCCCATGTTTGGAAGAAGGATATGTAGCCCAGGCCCATCTATTCTTTCACCCCTTCCTTTTAGGAGTTGGGCTGCCTTTAGAGAACATTTAATTTGCTCTGATAAAACAGGGCCTCTAGTGAAAAGAGCTATCTGTAAGAGCAGGAAAGTTGGAAACTGGTATCCAGAGCAAGAAAATGAGAAATACACACAGACCAAAGGGAGCAAAATCGTTCATGTAGCGGGGCTTGAAATTCAATGCATATACCAGTGTTCTTCTAAATTTATAAGTGGTGTCATTGTTTCTTTTAACAGTTGACTTGGCCATATGGCTGAAGGCCCAAAGCACCAGCCCCTTGGTATTTTTATCTTGGTGAATCACTGAAGTTTCTAAGGGCACTGACGAGAGATGATTGGCTGACTGCTTCTGTAGAGGCACCACAAGGAGCAACAAACACTCAGCGTGTTGTGTATGGTTTGGAGACTGAAGCACCACTACAAGAGGCTGTGTAGCAGCAGCAAAGCCACAAGCCTTGGAGGCTCAGGCTATTCAGGGTGCTCCAACCAAACACTAGCCACGCAGGACCTCAGTAGACAACACCTGGTCACGGCCTCCAAGCAGATTCTGGTCTCAGAGACCTCCATGAAGCAGAGGCTGTGGGGAAGCCTTGTCAAATGGTCAGGGGCTGAGCAAGTAGCCTACAATGGCTTGACTTTGGATGATCCTGGTGCCAGCTTTAGCACAGGTATCTGGATCAGTTGAAGTCCTTAGCATGGACAAAGCTCTTAGTAAGATAAATTTTCAATAATGGGGCAAAAGAGAATTTTATCTAAAAGATTCCATCAAAGTTTAACAATGTATGTTTAACACATGTCTATTATTATTTTAAAACTATCTGGAACATTCCAAGCATCAAATTTTATAAAGTTACATTTAGTGTTTTTTGTTTTTTTTTTTACATTAATAAGGACAAACTTGAGTGTATTCACCACAGGTTTTCAGCTGTAGGGTACCATTGGCTGATATTTAGATTGGATTTTAATAAAGGATATAAGTCACATGCTCATTTTATTTCATGTGAAGTTAATTATAGCTGCTCTTGTCACTTTAGGCATTTGAGATGTTGGAGATAAAGGATAATGATGACTTTATTCTTGTTTCTCATATTTCTAACAATCATAATGAGAAATTTTCTATGGTGAGCAATGAGAATCTGGTGGTGATTCAGTTCTTTGTTTCATGTTCTTTCTTGTCATGATACCAACCAAGTTGTCTTTCAACAGCTTTATATTTTTGAAAGAAAGGTAAATGTGCATAATCTATTGGGGTGTGCGTTTATGTGATTTTCTTTAAAATATATTCATATTCTCAGGGCTGGGGAGATGGCTCAGTGGAATAAGCACTTGCCTGGCAAGTGCAAGGGCCTGAGTTCAATCTCCGGTTCCACCAAAACAAACAAAAAAAAACCAAAAAACCAATATATATATATGTATATATATATATATATACATATATATATATTCATATTCTCTTGGATATAGTGTGTCCCAATTTTTTTTTCTTCCCCTGGGACTTAAAGCACAAAATCAGGATACAGTCCTATGTATTTAGTTTTCCTTGGCTTTTCTTGAATAATTTCCAAGGCAACTTCATTGTCTTCTTCTGCAGTCCCACTTTCCTACAACCACCATCTACTCCACAGAGAATATCTTTTTCAAACTTAAAACTACTTACGTCACTGACTATCAAATCTGTCATCAGTACCTTTCCACTAGTAGCTCATATTCAAGTGACTGCATGTGGCAAATTGAGTAAAGTGCCTGTTGATCCTGACTTTATCTGCATGTTAACCCTATCAATACAAAACTGCACCCAGGTCCCCATTTGCACCGCACAAGTCCATATTCCAACGCTTTGTTTACGTTCCTTCTTCTGCCAGTGGTATCCTAACCTCCCTTCCTCATGTAAGTACCCCTTCAAGATTGTTTCAAGACAGCAAGACACAAAGTCTAGTTCGTTTCTAAATGGGGGAGGACTGAATGGGGTATATGCCAGGGGCTGGAATTAGAATGTTGACTCTCTTTTCTTAAAATGCTGAAAGGAAGAGGAGTCTTGTAAATGTTTAAATTTAAATGTAACTATAACAAATTAAAGTAATTTTTCTTATAATATTAAAATGAAGCACATGTACAACATTTTTTTTTTTTTTTTTAATACTGGGGATTGAACTCAGGACCCTGTGCTTGCCAGGCAAGCGCTTATTCTACTGAGCCATCTCCCCGGCCCATCATTTTCTTAAATTAGTAAAGTACAGGCTATACCAATTTTTGTCATATTAGTACATTGTATTATTTCTGAATTAAAATTTGAGCATTTCCTTCTCTTCTCTCTTCCTAAAGATTTAACCTCATTGTTTTTAGAGAATGTCAAGTAGGATCATTAATTTTCCCCTAAGATTTATAGGTAAAAGACTTCCTTAAGATTTAAAAGATAAAGTTTGAGTAAAAAGTGAAAGAAAACGTTATTTTTCAACTTCACTTATAATATTCAATTTTAAGTAGAGTCCTACAAGTCTTATTTAAGGAGTCTAACCAGTATATGTTCTATAAAAAAACCTATCCACAATGGATTAAAAATTAAGAAATACTATGTTGCACACCATGAATTTTTATAAGAACAATGTAATAATTTATAAGTAGATCAAAGTTAATATTAGAGAATAAATGTATTTTATACGTTTGCATTATATCAAGGCCTCAACTCTTATATGTGTCAGGGAAAAACTTTTATCTCCTGAAGTCTTGTTCCACATCTCCAGAGTTGGTAAAATACAACTTATATCATAGTGTGCCCCAACACTGGTATTTCTTTGATGTCAAAACTCATTCTTCAGTTTTCAACTTAATTTAATAAGTACTTGCCACATACAAGGATTCTAAAACACAGTTCTGCTATGAAAGAGCTCGCAGCTATGTTGAAAAAATTATACAGTTTAGACAGGCTAATTTGTAATTCAAATAGTGAGAAATTAAATAAAATCAAGCCTTGTAGTAACTGAAACAAAGTTACGCGCTCCTCTCTGCATTCTCCTACTCCTTCGATCCCACCTGCCCTGACTTCAGTGTCTATCTCCTACTGGTGTCTCCAACTCATTTCTGTCTCTAACCAGAACTCTTCCCTGAGCTTGAGCCTCAATAGTTCCAGTCTGAACTGAACATTCCCCTCCATGGTGGCTGGTGTTTCCTGCCCTCCAAGTGATTCGAGTGGGATTCCAGGTGTCTCATGGCCCACCAACCACCAACCCTCCTGATTCCACCTTCCCAGCATCCCTCACGTCGTCCAGTTTCCTCCTGCCCTGTGAGCTCTACCATTTCTTATCTACAGCATGAAACTGTTTCCCAGGTTGTTTCAGAAAAAACTAAGGCATCACTATATCTAAAAAGGGGCAAAACCAAATTCATGAAAGTGTATACCTTAAGTGTAATGTATGAATATGAATGGCAAAAATAAAATACCTTTGCTTCTAATTTAATATAATTTGCTTTGTGATATTGTTTTTAGCACATAAAGCCCAATTTGACTTGCTAAATTTTTATTAAGGAATTGACAGTAAGGGTATACTAATCTTGTAACAACTGAGCAACTTCTAGGCCTTCTAAATCAATCTATTTATATGAAATAAAGGTAATGTGTTCCTTGAATGTTTGAATGAAGCATTTCTTACCATGAAAACATTTAGAACTAAGGTCTTTAAGAGACATTTTTTTTGTATTAAGGGGATATTTAGAATTTATAGTTATAAACTTTATAGCTTTTTAACTTCCAAGCATTTTTTGTTTCTCAGGAATCAATTTTAGATATATGTATATTTCCCCTAAAAGTTATCTATATTATCAAAATTTAAAGTTTTTACCACATATTTTGGGTGTTTATATTTTCTTAATATTCTCTTTTTAAATATTTGTTTTGTGGTTATGATTTACATAACTGAGTTGTTTTTGTCCTCTTTTCCTAATAAGATTTAGCCATAATTTATTTATTTTATTTGAGTTTACAGAGAACCAGCTCTAGACTTATAAATTAATTTGGCCTTTTTATTTTGTATTTAATTAATGTTCTTGTTTATGTTTTTACTTTATGAACTCCTTCCCTTTGTTTATTATGGTTGTTTTATTTTTGCTGTGCCTATTTCTCTGGTTTCTTAGTTCATCTTCATTCATTTTTTCTTTAATTTAAAGTTTTGTGTTTTCCTAACAGTAATTCTAGTCACATTGCATATATTTTGATGTGTTTTCTTACTGTTAGAATTAGACTATGATTGGAGTTTTTATTTGTTCTTACAGATAGATTTAGGAGAGGGTTTCCTTAATTTTGCTGTTCTTTGATATTTATCTTTTTACATTGATTTCAAAACTTTTTGCTCTGTGCTTAAAGATATTAGCCTAAAAATTTTTTTCTTGCCTAAAATATGATAAATTTAAATACGTTGTGTATGGACTTTTAAAATGTTATTTTGTATTTCAAGTACTGCTGACTGAATTGTATCTCCCTCAAATTCAAATGCAGACAGTCCCAATTCCTAATGTGATATCTTGGGAGATAGAGATGATTAGGTTTAGATGAGGTCATGAGAGTAAGATGGCACCTCGATCTTGGGCTCCCCAGGCTTTGGCACACGGTGCCTTCCTACAACTATGAGAGATAGATAGGCATTATTTGTACCATTCCATGTGTGTTATTTTGTTGTGGCAGCCAAACAAACTAAATAGGAATGTTGAACCTGCACATAGCAGGTGGCATGTGACCCTGAGGAACCAGCAGTGTGACTGTGAGACCATGGGTTTTTACCACTGTTATGTAATAGAGATATTTTTCCTGACTTGATTCTACAGTGCTAGAATGCAGGCTGTATAGCAGACAGCTGAAGGTTGTATGGGGAGGCTGCAGTGCAGGGTTGATGCCCTGTCCTATGCTGTTACACACAATCGAGATGAAACCCATATGTGCAATAGATTGAACACATGTAGTTTTGTTACTTATACACTTCATGGATTATGTATTTTATATGTAGCCCAAGACAATTCTACTCATTATGTACGAGGCAAGTAAAAATGTTGGACACCCATGAACAAAGACATGTAGTTCACTAATTAAATTGAATTTTTCTATTGTGCTATATGACTTCTTTTTATTTCATCAGTACACATTAAGGCATGCTTTAAAAATTCTGTTACTGTGAAGAACTTGTCAGAGGAAAATGAAGAATAGAGAAACAGGAGTGTGGAACACTGCAAGAAAGATCTGTGCTAAAAAAATTAATAAGTATAAATAATCTGACCTCCAATTCAAGTGTACTCTAGGGAGCACTCCTGAGTCAGTGTTGAAATATAACAATTACATGTGTGCTACTGCTCCAAGGTAATACAACCTCAGAGCGGCAGTAGCTGGATTAAAGCTTTGAAGACTCTTGCGAATGAGCAGTGAGAAAGTTACTAGATGAAAGTGCTGCTGGGGATATAGAAAACTACAAGAAATTAGAGGACTTAGAAACAGTCTAGGAGAAGACCTCGGTAGATCAGAAAAATCAGGATATGAACCTGTTAGAATAATAGGAAGATAAAGAAGAAACCATTAAGGATATCTGGGCAGTCCAATCATAACATAATAAAGCTGCATGTGTAAAAGAGATTCATGTGAAATTATAGAAATAGCAAAGGAGAGATTTCAGTGAACATACTGCATTAGAATTACTCATGAGTATATAGAGTATATAATCCTTTCTTCTGTTTCTCTCTTTCTCTGTCTGTCTGTCTGTCCTCTCTGCCTCTGAACTTAACTGTGTTGTTTTTTTCCTAATAGAAGGTGGTAAGAGCCACATTCTCACCAGCCTTGCTACTTGAATTTTCTGCATCTTTCTCCAGCTGTTGCTCATATGTCTCCATAATGGGCTGCAGTATTATTTTATATGGTGAACGAGTACAGTTTTAATTGGAAGCTGTGAACATGCTTAGGCCCAAGATAGAAGTGGATTTTGTTTTTCTGTTAATCAAAGAGTCTGGATGAAGCAGTTTTGCATTTGGAGTAGGGTGAAGAATGTGCCAAGATCGATTATTTTAAAAATTAATAACAAGACAGGACCACCCACAATGAAATGATGAAAAGTTAAAAGTAATGTTATACTGCTTTAATGGTTGAATTGAACCATCTACTGCATCTAAATGAAAGGTGCATACTTGTGTGTCTTGACTTAGGTTGTTAAATGCAGTTCATATGCTGGAATTCTCCAGCTCTGGAGGAAATGACTACTTTTTCGGAGGCATGCGACAAGGATACACAGAATAGAATGGGAAGTATCAGAGAACAAGAGGAAGAAAGCTGTATCTTAGCCTGAAGAGCTGTAGCAAAGCTGCCAAGGTAATTATGACAATAATAAACTTCAGTTTTTTGTTTAAAAGTTTGTCACGGCTGGGGATCTACAGCTCAGTGGTATAAGCACCTGCCTGGAAATTGCAAGGTCTCATGTTCAATCCCTGGTACCGGAATAAAAAAAAAAAAAAGAAAGAAAGAAAGAAAGAAAGAAAAGAAAAGAAAAGAAAAGAAACACTGCTCAGGAGATAGCTCAGCGGCTTAAGAATCTGATTGGCAAGTATAATGTCCTCAGTCCAGTCCCCAGTACAAAAAAACAAAATACAAGTTCATCACAAAGACCATAGTTACTTAGCTTAATTCATGTTTTCTACTAATTAATTGATCAATGCATCCAATAAATATTATAGAGTGCTTACTAGTAATATGGCAGAATGCTGCTAGGCACTGGAGCAAGTGCAACGAAATGTTTCCTTTCTCCCAGAGCAGTAGGAGTGCAGGAATAAAGTCACATCACCATGCACTAGAACAGTCTGTTATAATGTATTGTGCTCAGGTTTTCAGAGTATCTGAGGTCATATGGCTACCTCTACGGTAAAGACTAAAAGTCTTATTTTTTGTTTGTGAGCTCAGTAGGATTTCTTTTCTAGCAGTGCTGCTTGTCACATAAATATGAGCCAATTAATATGAGTTGCAATTTCAAATGAAGAATCACCATAGATTTATTTGAAAATCACCAAACCTGGGCGCAGTTGGATTGACACTTCTCCTGGGGTCACCTGAGTATTAATTTCATCTTCACTGGGTATTATGACACGCACAGAGGGGTATTCAATGGACTCCACTGAACAGCCTTTGCTTATTAAATTGGAAACAATGTCACAACGTTCACTCCTTGATCCACCTGAAATGAAATCCTGTTTAAAAGAAGGGAAATCACTGATTTTTTTTTTTACTGCATATCATTTTAGTTATAACCAAAGGGAAAAAAAATTTAAGATAGAAAATACTGCCAAGACATCCTTTCCAATGTAGGACAAATTATACAATTATTTAAAATAGCTGCATGTTTCCAATAAGAGTGCTGACAAGTTTCTCATAAATAAAACTTATATTTCTAAATCTCATCTAAAAAAGAACAAAATGAATTATTAAAGGGGAGATTTACACCAAGCACTTTTACTATTCACTGAGCATTGTAAAATTATACCAATTTAATTCTTTCCAAATATTTTCCTTTGGAAAGATAGATCCAAAAGAATACTTAGCCAAAATAGACCATTCACTGCATCCAAATGTGAGTGTCAGTTCTCAAAGAACTCAACTGGTATGTTTATTGTATATTGTTATGTTTAGAATATGAGAGCAAGTCTTTAGAAATCATATGCCTAATTGAATACTGAAAATTCATAATAGAAATATAATTCCTTAGGCCATAAAATTGCTAGACTTCTTATATATCAAACAGCCTGTAAATGATTCAGTACAGTAAAGAAAATGCTTGGGATGATGTAGAAATATAAGACTAGAGCTCAAATTTTCCTGACTTTGGTACTGACTGTACAACTGCCACTATCAATTTCTGAGACCTGGGGGAAAGAGATACATCTATGTATGTAAGCAGGATGGTTTAGACACTGTGCTCTGGATTTCTCCTGGCCTATGAAAAGGAGCAGTTAATGCTTAATTTGCTTATTCTCCTTTTTCCAATTGTTTCTCCTCATAATTTCTCATGTATGTCTTTCTTTTTTTTCTTTCCTCTTCCAATTTTGCATCCATACATCTGGTAATATGAATAACTGGCTAGAAGACAACACTATGCATTAGGACAAATACTGTGAAATTCATATTACTTTGTTAAGTGAAATTCTGTATCAGTTGTACTTTTTCTGTTTTAATACTATTTTGTACTCTCTTTTTTTAAACATAAAAAAAATAGAACTTTCATTATCATTCAGCATTGAATAGCCAGAGGTTATCCAGGAGCTTTGCAAGTGTCCTGAAATTATTGGGATGCTGTCTTAGTTACTTTTATTTTGTTGCTGGGACAAATACCTGACACCCAAAATGAAGGTAGGAAAGGTTTATTTAGCTCACAAGCACTGGAGGTTTCAGTCCACACTCAGCTGGCTCCAAGGCAGAGTGGCACACAGCAGAGGGCGGCAGTTTATGGCGGCGGCAGAAAGCACGAGCGAAATGGAGGAGTAGCAGCAATAATGGTAACAGAGAGGAGTGTAGCACTCACACCCATAATCCCAGCAGTGGATCATGAGTTAATCTCAAACTCTAGAAGTCCCAGCCCCATGACTACCATGAGGCTTTAGGAGGACAACTAGACACAAACCATAACAAATGGATTTTAATTTATCCTGACTGAGAAAAAATATTTTAATTTTTCATATAATCATTCTGATTTTTCCCAAAGAAGAGGAAATGTTTTGAAAAGTATTGATACATATTTATTTTACAGTTGTTTGTTTTGAGACAGAGTCTCACTATAAAGTTCAGGCTGAACTTGAACTCACTATGTAGCTAAGTGTGGCCTTGAATTTGCAGTGATCCTCCTGCCTCAGCCTCCCAGGTGAGGGTATAATAAATGTGCACACGACTCCTGGATGTGTTTTATTTTCTATCCTGTTGTTGTGAATTATTTGGATAAATGCTTATCTAGGAGCTGAATATTTGCTTGGTGCTCTTCAAGACAGTGGCTGTTTTGGTCCATCATTCACTCATTTCTCTATTCTTTTGGATAATTCAGAGAACTGGATTTCTAATCAGTTAATCATTCAGCTAAAGTATGCTGACTATTTCCTGGGGGACCATAGACTGTTAGGTACTAGGTATGTGAAAAACAGCAATGTAAGCTGAATCCTTATCAAAATTAACAAGACATGGGTGATCTAGTCATTAATCACATAAGCGTAATTGTCAAAAGAGTTAAATTTAGGGAAGTACAGAATACCGGGAGTGTCATAGGTGGGGTCATCAAGTTTATGAGGACATGAGTGTGGAATGTGAGGTCACTGATCCAAAGCAGGTGAGTATTAGCTAGGGTGATGGTATACAAACAATGAGGAGTTCTTCAGGGAGAGGTGGCAAGTAGCTGCTATGTATGAGTCACGTTCCTCCAGAGTGGCAAGCTAAGTGGAAGACCCATCGCTCCCAAACGTGGGGAATTCTGAAGGCACGTGAGGCTTCGTGTGTGTTTACTCATTCATGATTCACACAACGACTTGCTACCGACAAAGGGTCATATGCATTTTACAGATGTAAGTGCCCCAAGATTGCAAACCACAGAGAAGAAATAATGTACAAACAGCTTTAAGTCTTCTCTTCTCCCAGCCATGGATTCTAGTATTTGTGTGTACAGAATGGAGAAGAAGGGCCGGGAGGTTAATTTACTGTAACTATGCAGTAAACAATGTCATGTGGTTTTGCTGAAATTGAAAAGCCAAATAGTTTTGCTGAAATTGTCAAAAGCCAAATAGTTTTGCTGAAATTGTCAAAATATTCTCAATTATTTTGCAATGCATGAATCAGCATGGCTGTTTTTACTCCACTATAAAAATTAACTCAGGAAAACACTGCCAACAGTCCAATTAGGTTTGAAATGGGAAGAAAATACCCATGGTATCAAACTTAAGCATGGGACACTGCGCTCAGCTCCTGTGGCCTACTTTTCACTTTGTATCAAGGAAAAGCAAATTGAAACTGCACATTTTTAATATGGGGTATTTCGTGTCACTTTAATATCCTCTAAACCTTACGCTTTACCTTTTTTTAAAGTAAGAAAATACACATGGGCAACTTTTTTCATCTAAAGTCTTGGTGAGAATGAAAAGCCGAGGTGAAGTTGCTGTGGCTGGCTTTGTATCAATTATTACTTTATCCATTTTGATATAATGTTCTGGTGATATAAGTCAAACAAGTTTTTTTTCTCCAGTTTCTGAGTCTTTCAGACTTCCAAACAACGAACACTGCATAGAAGTGGAAGATCAGTGTCATCTTCCTTTAGACAGTGAATTCCTGTCTTTCTTCTCATAGTTTAGGACAGTGGGGGCAAGCTTGTGGCAGACCAATGCACATTTTTAGGTTACCTATCCCTGACCTAGGACAGCTATCTCCTACGTTTACCTTCTGAACTTCTGTGACACCCCACCAGATGTACCAGTCAAGAAGAAAGTTCTAGCATGAGTTAACAAAAAAACCCAAACACTGGCCGTTACACTAGATAATATAGATGAAGTCCTTTCTACCATAATCATTTTCTGATTACTTTTATGTAGCTTAGGAGGAAAGAGAAAACAAACCCTTTGGAGCAGCAGATGAGCACACTGC